CTGATAGTGACTGACCAGCAGGATGTACTATCATTGCTTGTAAATTGAATTGTTTAACATCGATATTGCTGCCTTGTCCGAAACTAGAAGAGCCGATGAAGGACAGGTGAGGGAGGAAAAAGGAGGATACACCTACTTCTGGAAGGGAAAATCTTTAGATGAACTTCAGTTGTATGGAGTAGGCTTTGTTATTAAGAAGGTGTCTCTCTGAGCTGCCCGTAGGCATCAATGAGCAGCTTATAACAGTCAATTGAAGCTCTCTAAAAATCAACAGGTAACTAGTGAGAGTGCCTATGAGCAAACAATGGATGCCGATGAGGCTGTAAAGGAAGACTTCTACTCTCAGCTGGAAACCATTTTATTGGAGACCCCTAAAGAAGATAAGATCATTCTTCTGGGGGATTTCAATGCACGTGTTGGAAGAGACTCAGACTTGTAGAAAAGAATAATTGGGAAAGAAGGAGTTGGCAAAAGCAACTCAAATGGAATCCTGCTCCTGACCAAGTGTTCTGAACATGAACTTACCATCACAAACATTCTTTTATGACATAATAAGTTCAAAACATCTTGGAGACACCCACATTCAAAGCCCTGAGATCTTTTCGACTATGTCATAGTTCATGCTTGAGATCATTGTGACGTACTTCTCAGCAGAGCAATTATAAGTGCTTCTGGCTGCTGGACTGATCATCACTTCATTCAGTCCACAATGAAAATGAAGATCGCCCCCAGATGGAGGCTGCAAAAGAAACAGATCAGGCACAAGTTGAAGGTTCAAGATCTGAAGGGCCCCATTAAGCGTGACCACTTCCAAACTGTCTTAGAAGAAAAGTTTCCATCAGAGTTTCCGGAAGAAATTGAGGAACATTGGAGCTAGCTGAGAGCAGTGATCATCAATACCTGTGAGGAAATCATTGGCTACCACACCAGACAGAATCAGGACTGGTTTGATGAGAATGATGATGAAATCAAGCAGCTCATCAGTGAGAAGAGAATGGCAATTTGTGCTTGGCAGAATGATGTAAATTACAAGACAAAGAGAGAAGCCCATGCTAAAGTGCAAATCCAATGAAGGCGGAAATCCAACATAAAACCAGAGAACTCAAGAACAAATGGTGGACTGAGAAAGCACAAGAACTCCTGCATTTTGGGGATATCCATAATACATGGGGTATCTTTAGTGCTGTTAAGGCTGTTTATGGGCCAGCTTGCCATAGCATGAATGCCTTTTGCTCAAAGGATGGAACCACACTTTTGAAGGACAATTAAACCATTAATTTTCATTGGAAAGAACATTCTACAGGTTCTGACGGTTGGTAGTACAAAGCTGAGTACAAGACGTGAGCCTGGAAGAGGGGACTGAAGATCCATGAAGTTACATGGGACACAAGATCAGTGTTCTGAATATGGGAATCGTTTGTGGGAGAAAGAGATGACCAGAATATCAAGACTCAGGGTATTGGTAGAATAGAGCATAGGAAAGAATGATTAATTAGAGAGTATGGTAAAAGTGAAGGGCAGATCCTGTGTACAGACTCTCTGGCAATAACATTAATTATATGGAGTAACTTGTTTGATGATTAATATTTTTTGTACATTTTAATTTGAACATAAAGAGGCCTGGGTGATAGGACTTTGGACACAATAAGCCTGCTGGAACCTGTCAAGTCTATCCATTAGAGGGCAGTAGTACATCCACCAGTAATACAATAGATCTGTATGCCAGTTTGTTTGTGACTCAGGGATAGTCTCAATTTATTATTTTCATTTATGTTTAGAAATGAGTGATACATGGTAATAAATCCCAGGCCACTGTGGATAGACTAAATAGCCTAACACTATCAATTTGCTTATTGCAAGTAGATCTTGGTGTAGAACAGGGTGGAGAACCTAAGGCCTGGGGGCCAGATGCAGCCCCCAGCTTGCCTGGATCTGGCCCCTGAGGCTTGGGGCTACCCTCCAGCAGTGGGGAGCCTGCATTCATGCTCCAATTCCCCTGCTGTCCCATTGTGGGACTGGAGTACACAAAATCTACTAGCCTGGGCCCCCGAGGCTCTGGTGTCCGAAGGGAATGTGGAGGGGGGGGGAGGTGTCTCGCCTCAGTTGGGGGGCCATGAGGGTTTGGTTTTCTTTTTTGCTTCTCACTTGTGTGTGGCCCCTGACTGATTTTTCTATGGGTCAGTGGCTCCCGACCCAAAAAAGGTTCCCCACCCCGGTGTAGAAGAAACACCTCTAAGACTTTTCTATATTAAATACTAAAAGATTGACTCAGTGTTACTCAGGTCCTTAAATCATTTTTGTTTTTCTTCATTTAAATTATTGTTTTGGCATGGGTCTGGGAAGAAGGGGTTCATTATGCAGGCTGCCCCAGGGAGAAAGGACAACTCTCATCCTCTCTCACTGCAGCAGCTTGTGGCCAGGTGAGAAGTGTTTGTCCCTGGCCACTGCAGCAGCCATAGCCAGGAAAAGGGTGCATGTCTACTGGCTGGGGACAGACAGACACAGAAACAGACAGACAAACTCTCTGAAATATATAGTAGATAGCTGTCCCCTTCTCCACCCCTGTCTTTTGCTGGCCCAATAGGCTTATAGCTGTCCCAGTTCCCATCTTTGATCCTTTTCTGCCTCCCTGTGGTCATTTTACAGTATAACTGTCCCTGCTAGCAGAGCCTTCTCTTTCCATTTTATAAGAAACAATCACATTCCAGGCACATCCCATAGTCCTGGCAAACCCAAACCCTTACCTTGCATTAAGCTATGATAAGAGGAAGCTGCATACCAAATGTGGTGGGCCTAGCTCTTACCATTTAGGAGGAATTATTGAACAGACAGACAGATAGCTACACAGACAGATTCTCTCAAATATATAGTAGATTGAAGTTAAAAAATGTATTTTGACTCAAGTAGAGGGCTCCTTGGGGCACTGTGTTATTTTGCATTGAGTATCAACTGCTGTCTTTTAAAAATATTATTTCTGAATTTTTTATGGTTAATGATTAATGTTGTTAATTTGTGAAGTTGAACTGGGCTGTCTTCTCCACTGATTCACACTAAGCCCCGAGAACAATTAGTAATTCAACTCCCATTATGGAGAATGTTTTGTACTAAGAGGTGACAGTCTTTGAGTGAGGTAATATCTTTTATTAGACCAGTAGTCTTTGGGTGGGTGTTTGAAGCATGTCATGGCTTTAAGATAACTTACTGAAGTCAGTGCTTCAGAAAGAGGTGTGGTTACTGTCTATGTTTCACATGTGGATATGAATGCACACCATGTGCCTGAGTTTGGAAGTTTTTCCAAGCAGTGTCTATTGCAGAGGTGGGGAACTTTTTTGGGGTCGGGGGCCGCTGACCCACAGAAAAATCAGTTGGGGGCCGCACATAAGTGAGACGAAAAAAACCCTAAACAAACCCTCACAGATGTGGCCTCTAACTGAGAAGGAGAAAGACACTCCCCGGGTTCCTCTGCTACACCAGAGCCTAGGGGAGCCCAGCGTACTAGATTTTGTGTGCTCTAGCCCTGTGGTGGTGTAGCGGGGGGCGGGACTGGAGCACCAGAGTAGGCTCCCCAATGCTGGAGGGGAGCCCTGAGCCTTGGGGGCCAGATCAAGGCAAGCCGGGGACCACACCTGGTCCCCGATCCTTAGGTTCCTCACCCCTGCTCTTTTGACTTGAATGTGCACAGTATCTTCCCTGACTAAGGCTATAAGAATCCTTCTACTAAAATGCAATAGGTCCAAAGCAGAGTAGAAGGAGGGTGGGTAGTGGAATACAGACTGGACCCACACATCTCGAATAATCTCCAGTTGCAGTAAATAACTTCGTCCTCTTGGAGTGCTGATCCCTATGTGTATTCCACACGAGTCTCTTGCATGCACTGGTAAGTGTGGAGGTGGGTGTGAGGAAGCTGATAGCAGAGCAGAGCTGCCTGAAATACAACCACTCCTGCTGCATCAGCAGCTGCTGCTTGAGTCAGGGTGTAGTGTGCCATACATGTGCAGACAGCTCGCCAAGTTGTGGCTTTGCAAATGTCCTCGAGATGTTTGATAAAGATGCTGTGGAGGCTGCTTGTGCTCACATGGAGTGAGCTGTGAGGCTCCCAGGGAGGGGAAGCTTTGCTACTGGATAGTATTCTGTTATGCAACCCAAGACACAGTTAGAAATTCCATGTGACGATATGACTGGGCCCCTTGACCTTTCTGCTATCGCGACAAAGAGTCTTCAAGATTTCTAAACTACAAGACAACGATTTACATCAAATTTTTGCAATATTTTTTTAGTGGTTACAAGAGTGAAGGAGGACAGGATTGTGACTCAGGCAATGCAGGAATAAGAAGGAGGCATTCACTGGAACCACTCCTTATGCCCTTGGTCCGGAGGGAAAATACTGCACATGTGTGGGTCTATGAACATTGCTTGAAAAAGCTTCCGGTGTGAGGCACATGGCATGCATGCATATCCACGTGTGGAATACACATAGGGACCAGCACTTATAGAAGAATTAGGATTGCTGAGCTCTATTCCTGGTTCTGCTACTGATTCCCTGTGTGCCCTTTGGCAAGTGAATTAACCTGTCTGACAGGTGAGGCTTCTGTAATATAGGGATGATAATAATACACTTCATAGAAGGAATTGTGTTAGGGAACAGACTAGCTGGGACCAGTTGCGGGCTTGTTTCCTGATTAATTTTGCATCAAGATAATCCATGAGTCCAGCTGCACTGCTTTGGAACTGACAGAGTGGCCACAGTCCTGACTGGATGCTGGTTTAGCAGCCTGGATGATAAACTTGGCCCCCCACAGCAGATCAGAAGCTGCTCAATGTGTACCATGTCTGCAATTGTGCTTGCCCTTGTTCCAGTCCCTGATCTCCACCGACTTTAGACTTCTGACCAGACGGGATAGAGGTCAGAGTGAGGGCTTCAGCAATTAAAATATAGCTGGACACATGATCCATCTAGGGGAATACCACATGATCCCACATGCTTTCCGCCCTCTCCCCCCGTCCCCCCCCCCCCCCCCCCCCACACACACCTCTCCTCTGCTTCTGGTTTACATTCCCCATTTTTCCCTCTGACTGTGACTTTAGTTGATCATTTAGTTATGGCATATAGCTCGTGTCTCTCTGGAACTGATCCCTGGCTCTGCTTCTGGTTTACATCTTTAGTTTACTTTCTGCCTCTGGCATTTGGCTTCTGTCCCTCCACTACTGACCCTTGACTTATTTCCTGAGACTCTGCCCACCATGGACCGAGCTGTAACTGGTAGCCTGAATTCTTCCTTCACCTGCTCATGGCCTTGTCAGCTACAAGTAGTAATGCATAACTGAGGTTTATAAAATGTTTTGACATTTGCAAATGAAAGAGGCTGTTATGTATGTGTAGTATTATTGTTAGTTTATCACATTTTATATTATATGCGCAAAACTTTTAAAAAGTAGCAGCAACAAAAGCCTGTCATTTTCACCAGAACAAAATATTGCAATAGAAAAGAAAGGAAAAATTAAAATGACAGAATCCACTGAAAGAAAAAGACATAATGAAGACATCTGGCTCTGTGCTGATAAAAGCTCTCGCAGCCCCTATCCCATCATCCCTTGCAGAGCTCATCTGAAAGCGTATCTATCAAGGGTTTCCAAAATTAAGAAAAACATCTGTCTGTGTCTAACTGTGTTTGACCAACTGTTAAAAACAAAACAAAATGTGTTTCAGTGTTAAAATTCTCAGAAAGGTAACCATTTCTCAAACAAAAAGTCTGAGAGGATTCATCTGCCAGTTGAGTAATAAACAGACGGGTGCCATCAACAATATCAGGGGTGACCTGCAAATGCATATTAAGCTCTCTATTTCCCCTGCTGTCTCACATAACCTTCTCTTCTTTTTTACAGCACAGTCTGCCTGAGAATTTACTCCCTTGAGAAGTTAATATCCCTCCTGGAACCTTTAGCTCCTTATATAAGCTGTCTCTATAGCTTTATGGGCAGCATCTTGCGCCTCACTCAGAAATCTGGGAGTTCAGTTCCATACTAGGCTTGGCTTCAGTATTATGTGCTATCACTGCAGTGTGGTATTTGGAGTGGGGGGTGATGATTGCTGCTGCCTTCTTAAATGTGCCTTTCCTCTGAGCAAACTTTGAACTGAACTCCCTTTGTCTCCTGCAGCAGTGGCAGATCCTATGGAATATTGCAAAGAGAACCAGGGATAGGGCATGCTGACTAAGACATGCTCTAAATCCTGCTCCTTCCTCCATGGGTTCAGCGGGCCATACCTAAAGCAGCAATGAATCAGTGCCTTTCAGGGGGCAAGAAACAGAATTTTTAGAGACTGTAGCCAGAGGTTATGCGGACACCCAGCATCCCTACAGAATCCAGCTTCATAAGGGTGCCCACACAACCATATGCAGTGGGTATTTGGATGAAACAGTAACAATTGTTCTGTTGTTGCACAGAACACTCCAGTGTTGACCCCACATATGCAGGGCTACAAAGGCTTCTGTAGTAGCACCAAGGGAGAAGTGGAGGCATATGTAGAGGCGGAAGATCTCCTCCCTCAGCTACCATGGACAACCCCAATGGCCAGCCCAGTTATCCAGGCTGGGCACTGAGAACAGGTATTTCCCTATAGTACCTAGTGATTACTGACTTTGCTTTCATAGTCACTGTGCTAGAAGTATCTAATGTATTGTTGTAAAACACTTGAGTGTCTCAAAAGAATAGCCATGGGTCAGACCAGTGGTCCATCTACCCCAGTATTTGCTCATCTGACAGTGGCCAATGCCAGATGCTTCAAAGGGAATGAACAGAATAGGGCAATCAAGTGAGCTATCTTTTCAAAAGTCTAAAACGTACCATAGGAAAATTACTAAACTAAGAGAGAGATGTCTTGCTATAGATTTTATAATGTCTTATTTCCATGTCAGCTTTAAAATTGTAATGTATCAGATTGCAATTTTCAATGAGAAGTAACTATGGTGTCTAAGAAACTTAGACCACTGTTGTGATCTCAGTTCATTGTTGGTTTAGGAAGTAGAGCTGCTGACAACACTTGGAAAGCCATCCTAGGCAGCCTTTCTGTCGAAATACAGGCAGTCCCCAGGTTACGTACAAGATAGGGACTGTAGGTTTGATCTTAAGTTGAATATGTATGTAAGTCGGAACTGGCGTCCAGATCCAGCCGCTGCTGAAACTGATCAGTTTCAACAGCGGCTGAATTGTTGGTTTAGGAAGTAGAGCTGCTGACAACACTTGGAAAGCCATCCTAGGCAGCCTTTCTGTCGAAATACAGGCAGTCCCCAGGTTACGTACAAGATAGGGACTGTAGGTTTGATCTTAAGTTGAATATGTATGTAAGTCGGAACTGGCGTCCAGATCCAGCCGCTGCTGAAACTGATCAGTTTCAACAGCGGCTGAATCTGGATGCCAGTTCTGACTTACATACAGATTCAACTTAAGAACCCCAGGCATCCCCAAGTCAGCTGCTGCTGAAACTGATCAGCAGCTGATTCCAGGAAGCCCAGGGCAGAGCAACTCGGCCTCGGGCTTCCTGTAGTCAGCCCCTGGTCAGTTTCAGCAGCAGCGGCTGAATCTGGAGCCAGGTCCGAGTTACGTACAAATTCAACTTAAGATC